TGCAGCTATACCGGAAATGTGCTGCTGTGGTGCTCTAGCCCCGGATCTGGCATAGCACGGAATCTATAAGACGTTGTGCAAGTTCAAGCTGGTTGATGCTCAACACCTACGAATCTACCTATAACTCCATATATAAACCATTGCCATCATCTTTTGTTATTAATGAGCTTACCTTGGTTATGTCCTATCACCGTCGATGCAATCTCTGATGAACTATCGTTTCTTCAGCGAGAATGTACCGTGTGTCGTTCTACTATTAGCCGAGGCTATCAGCACTAAAGCAAACCTTACATACCTACCTATACAGCAAGCACTACTATCGCTATCTGACTACCTAGTATCTTCCCTACCTACCTAATCAGAAGCTTGCTTGGTGGGATGAAACAGCAACAGGGCTGCGCCGCCTCGTGGCTCCTTCCGTGCTAGTCGCCTCAATGCCTCGCATGCCCGATCTGCGTCATCATCAACGAGGCTCTTCTTCCCAGCACCTCCCACATGGAACCTCCACCAGACCTTTTCGCCGGCAACTATGGCTGAGACAAACCTCGCGCAAGCCTCCTCCTCCTCCTCCCACTCCCCAGAGAACCCGCCTGCAAAGCCCTACTATGCGAAGCGCCCTCACAAAAAGTCCAGGGCCGGCTGCCAGAGCTGCAAGGCGCGAAAGGTCAAATGCGACGAGGCCAGGCCCGTCTGCCGGTCCTGCAAGCTGAGAAAGGCGGACTGCGTCTACGCCGCTCCCCAAAAGCCGCAGAAACTGCCGGACGAGACGCCGTCACCGTCGCCGGACTCCCTCGATGATGGGCCACTGACGCGCCTCGCCAAGTCCGCGGCGTCTTCAACAGCCACCAAGCTCGCCAGCATGTCTTCGACTTCGTCCGTCCTGTTTTCGGCGCCGATACTCTCCCTTGCAGAGAAGCACCACATCCAGTCTACTTCGATACCTGCCGAGTTACTATGCTGTCCGATGGGGATCGACCAGGCAGATATGAAGGCATTATGGTTCTATGCGATGAAAACATGTACTTCCTTTTCCACCTTGGCGGACGATGGGAACAAGTACACCATGAGAAGCCTGTTGGTTCGATATG